CACTGTAGTGTATTGAACAAAATGGTTATGCGGCCCGCGCTCGTCATTCTCTCAGTTATCTGGCCCGCTGTGAAAAAAGTTTGGTGATCCCTGCTCTGGACTATCATTTCAAAATTAGGGACGGCTAACTCAGATACCCTGGTGTAGCTTTGCACGAAACTCAACAACTGAACAAACAGTTCCTATTTAAATATGTAATTCAACATTTACTAGAATAAATGTAAATCAAATAACTTAATTATTAAATTTCATTTGAGTGGATAAATAAATTGGCATGAACTATATTTGTTATAATGAAACATTTGAAAATAGTAAAACACGTCAGAAAACCCAGTCGTTGAAGTCAGGTTGTAGAACCCCATGACATTATTGTATTACTTTAAATTTAGAAGACCCACATCATTTTATTAATGGGAATAGGTTCGTTAATTATCAAGTCATCAATTAATTGATTTTTTTTTCTAATGTGTGTACATATAAACGGTTTTGATTTTGTTTGTTTGGAATTTCGTGCAAAGCTACACAAGGGCTATCTGCGCTACCCGTCCCTAATTTAGTAATGAAATACTGGAGGGAAGGCAGCTAGTCATCACCGCCAACTCTTGGGCTACTCTTTTTTACCAACGAATAGTGGGATTGTCCGTCACACCCCGTGGCTGATAGGGCGAGCACGTTTGGTGTGACGGGGATTCGAATACTCACTTAGCGAATCGAGCTCCCTAACCACCTGGCCATGCCCTATATAAACGGGATGATTATAAAAAAAAATGTCTTGCAATTCAGCGCGCCATATCTCACATACAGTGACATCCCTGGTGGCAATATGAGACAAGTGTGGTGGTGTTTGCATCTACATGATATCATCAACTCCTCTGTGTAATTTTACCTTCGTATATAGTTCCGTTTGTGAGATGTGACGTGCTGAACTGCGAACCTTTCCTTGTAATACACGTATAAACTTAAGTTACAAGGAATTGGGGATTTTTAAAAAAACGGACATTTTTTCCAGCTACCCACGTAATTCCACCAAAAAACGAATTCGTTTTGGGGTCCTGTAGTACTATAAATATAAGGTCTGCGTCAGATCTATTTGCATTTGACGCACGTGCAAACACCTACAGATATAAATCGTAATATTTTTACTTGGGTATAAAGGATATCCTCCCTCTCTTATGAAGCCAACTTTTCCCCCTTACCTATATATGTATGTGAACATAGTTGTGGACTTCGTTGCATAGCCTTGAAATAAGAACATGTCTTTAATTCCCCTCGGAACTAAGCCTACAGAACCCTCATTATCTATCGTAAGAGATAGCGTATCGGTTCTGTAATCAATATAGCAACGCTCAACCATCAACAAACTAAGACTACAGAACCCTCATTATCTATCGTAAGAGATAGCGTATCGGTTCTGTAATCAATATAGCAACTTCAACCATCAACAAACTAAGCCTACAGAACCATCATCATCTATCGTAAGAGATAGCGTATCGGTTCTGTAATCAATATAGCAACCTCAACCATCAACAAACTAAGACTACAGAACCCTCATTAT